CTCCACGGGCACACACAGACACACACACACACACGCACAGCCACACACGCACACACACACACGCACACACACACACAGTGCTGTGACCAATTGGCTCGCCGCGCGCAAATACCAAAAGTGCAGTGACTGCGGGTTTTGCGGGCGAAACACGATGACAACAAGAGGTTAACCGCTAAAGAAATCTTCGTTCATCCTGATGTGGTAACCGTGAACGTCTTGGACTTGGCAAACTCGACCTCGTTATCTCCCCGTGTCCTCTCAAAAGCCTGCGCTGCGTTGGGGCTCAAAGTGCCTCTCAGGATTTACCGTGACGTGTAGCGACTGTGCATTTTCCCAACTAAACGCGGCAGGCAGTTGCGCACAGCGACGTCCCCACAAACAGTCGTGGGTCGAAGCGACCAAATAGTCCTTTGTGTGTGTTTTTTTCTACGTGATGGGCTTTTGAGACGTCTCAACCAGGGGAGGGGCGATGTCAAAGGCAAAGGTTATCATTAAGGGAAGGAGTGAGGCCGGAGGGAGTTTGTTATCAATAATAAGCCTGAGATACAAGAGAGGAAGATTGAAATAAATGTGTCTGGACATAGGAGATGGATGTTATCAGCGAGACTGAGACTGTAAAGGAGTTGGTAGGTGGTTGGTTGGTTGGTTGGTTGGTTGGTTGGTTGGTAGGTGGTTGGTTGGTTGGTAGGTTGGTTGGTTGGTTGGTTGGTTGGTTGGTAGGTTGGTAGGTTGGTTGGTTGGTTGGTTGGAATCCAGGCTGGTTAGAAACTCACTGTTATTTGCAAAGACGCTGCAATGCTGGTGCTAAACCGTGGCTTATGTCACTCTTAACAACTGACACTAAGGACAGTTTGCAACACGGTTGATTTTCATCACCTCCGAACAAGGAACCCGTTGTTTATTTAGGATGTCTCCTCGCGCACCTCCCTACCTCTCCCGACCTGCTCACACCCCACTCCACCACCTTGTTCCCCCGTCCCCTCCGGCTCCACCATCGGCCTTCAGCCACTTCGCCCCCAAAGCTTCGGGACTCTCTCAGGCTTATTTTTCACCAGAGACACACACACACATCTGTGTAACACTTAGACCTTCTGGCTCACAAAATAATCAGCTAAAGCGACTCCCACTCTTCAACAGAGACTTGTGGCTGTCCAGTAGCTCAGTGGTTAGAGCCCTCACCTCGCAAGCGAGAGGACCCGGGTTCGATTCCCGGGAGGGTCGGGGCAAAACCTTAGGCAAGTTTCCTTACTCCACACACACACACACACAATTGGTGGATCGCTTTCCGGGGGTAATAATCCCTTGAAAATGAATAATAATAATAATTTGGTCGCTCAATCCACGACTGTTTGTGGGGACGTCGCTGGGCGCAATTTGCCAGCCGCGTTTCGCCCGCAAACCACACAGTCGATCCACTTGACAGTCTGTCCCGTGAAGCGCTTTGAGACGTCTCGATGGCGTGATAAGGCGCTGTGCCAAATGCGAGGATTATATTATTATTATTATTATTATTACTGGCTGAGTGGTTGGTTGGCAATGGAAACTCCTGGAGAGGGAAAGGGCAAAATGATAACCTTTAACAAAGGCAATTTCAGTCCCTCAACAGAGGGTTTGAGGCTATTTTGAGCCTCGGAACTTAAGGGTGGATAAATAATTGGGAGTCAAAGTGACGCAGGTAGGGGAACTTATCACAGATTAGTGTTTGCAAAGGTGAACGGCAGAGCTATTAATAGCAGCTGCTATGTGTTTGGACAGCGCGGCTATTCACTGGGATGAAAATTAGCCTTATTGCTCACTCCGCAGAAAGCCACAAGCGATGAATGAAGCGAGATTTTTGACTTTGCTTTTCAACTTGACGCCGAAAGCAAAAGGCGGGGGAGAGTCTTCAACCCCTTCCCCACTTCCCCGTCCCATCGCCGTCACTCGCTAACCCAAATCAGCTGTTTGTTAGGATCTTGTCGGCGTCTTACATCTGATGATGATATTTAATTATGATAATAATAATAATAGTAATCCTTGCGTGTGATGCAGCGCCTGATCGCGTCGTTCAAAGCGCTTCACGGGATAACACTGTAAAGTGTAGTGACTTGTGTGTTTTGCGGGCGACACGCGGCACGAACAGCCGTGGATTGAGCGACCAAGTTTTATTGGGTGGGGGTGGGGTGGTGGGGGGGGAATTGTCGGCCAGGACACCGGGAGAAAGAGCGAAAAAACTCCCCTCTCTCTCTTTTCGAGGCGGGGGGGGGGGGGGGTGGTGGTGGTGGGGGGTGAACGAGGGCAGAGGGATTGAGGGAGAGAGTTCCAGAGTTTCAAGGGTACGGACAGGAGACCAAGGCAGCGGGTGGGTGTGGGTGTGGTGTGTGGGGGGGGTGTGGGGGTGTGGGGGGGGGGGTAAGCAGTTCGGAGAGGGAGGGAGGGGATGGTGAGAGGGTAAGGCTCTCACAAGGACTTGGAGAATCATGTTACACGCACAAGCTCGGCCTCTGTAGGTCGCCTGTTGTGCAGGTAATGGCACGTGGTTCGGTGTGTGAGGTATTCCAAACATCTCAGCAATGCCCCAGAGGCAGGTTACAGTCTCTGACTTCTCCATCTCCAAACAACAACAACAACAACAATAACAACAGCCCCCGCCCACAATCCCACCCCCCCACCCGCCCGCCCGCCGCCCACCCACAGCGTCCCGGAGAGCCTCTGACAGTGACGGAGCCTGATCCCGAGCCGGAGGGAGGGAGGGAGGAGCAAGGCCTTGGAGGCCGTTAATGGTGACGGTCGCTTTTCCGGGGGGTAATAATCCCTCCCTCCTCCCCCCTCCACCCGCCACCCCCAAAAAAAGCCCCCGAACAATAACAATAATATTGCGGTCGCTCAAAGCCACGGCTGTTTGTGGGGACGTCGCCGGGCGCAATCGGCTGCCGGGTTTCGCCCACAAAACACGCAGTCACTGCACTTTGCAGCGTGTCCCGCGAAGCGCTTTGCGACGTCTCGACCACGCGATCGGGCGCCGAGTCAAACGCCAGGATCATCATTATTATTATTATTAAAGACCCCGGGCATAGGGTTCGGAACCCTAGAAGTTGTGACTCGGGGGGCGGTGGTGGGGGGGGGTTGGGTGGATAGTGGGGTGGGTGGGGGGGTGGGGGGGTGGTGTTAGCCACTGGAAGTCTGTTGTATATTATCAGGAACTTGTTTCCTCGAGATGGTTCGGGCCAATTTGCCGTCAGCGAGTGGGTGGAAGTTGAGCCGGGGCCAAATTTGGGAACAACAGCCTGTGTTCGACAGCTCTGTGGTAACTTGGGGTTGACCGTGTTTTGTTAGAAGGTTGACTGGCGTCCAGTCAAGAATTAAACTCCATTTACATTCCTCTCTCTCTCTCTCTCTTTCTCTCTTTTCCTCTCTCCGCTCTCTCTCTCTCTCTCTCTCGGTTTTTGTGACGTTCTTTCCCAAAGTTCCCAAGGCTTCGAAGCAGTTGTTTTGTGGTTCATCATAATAATAATCATAATCATAATCCCGGCGTGTGACCCGGCGCCTCATCACGTCGTCGAGACGTCTCAAAGCGCTTCGCGGGACACACGGCAACGTGGAGTGACTGTGTATTTTGTGGGCAGCCGGTGGCGTCCCCCACAAACAGTCGTGGATCGAAGTGACCGAGTTATTATTATTATCCTAATCCTTTCGAAGGGATTATTACCGCCACCGATCGACTGACGACCGGGTTCCCACTCACTGCCGGTAAACAGAGGCGTGTGTGTCGGTGTCTGTGTGTGTGTCGGTCTCTGTGTGTGTGTCGTGTGTGTGTGTGTGGAGTAAGGAAAGTTTCGCCCATGACCTGACCCGCCCGGGAATCGAACCCGGGTCCTCTGGCTTTGCGAGGCGAGGGCTCTAACCGCTTCGCTATTAAGCCGCTGCTGTTTTTCTCCGGTCAACAAACCCGGGACACACTCTCCCCGAGATCACGCCGCCTGCGTAGTCTGCTGTCGTGTTGCCGACACCTTGAACATTCCCGCGTGCGACCACGCCTAAGGTATGAAGCACGTATGTGCTCATACACACGTACACCGTGGCCTATTTATAGCTCGGATTGTCGTACCTTCCACAGTAATGGCGTCACAGTGACATGTGCGGTCCCGTCGCTCGGGGGTCGGAGCCTTCGCCTCGCAAGCGAGAGGACCTGGGTTTGATTCCCGGGCGGGTCAGGTCGGGGCGAAACCTTGGGCAGGTTTCCTT